CCATGTCAGGACTCGGTTACTCGTGGCGGGCGGCTAATAGACTCCCCTGCATCGTTAATTGTGGAGCAGTGCAGAGACTGTCCGCTTGTGAGCAGAGCCTGCTTTAGCTGCTAGCAGCTACTGCTTCTCTTCTAAAGCTGATGTTTTATTTCAGCCTTGGGAACCAAGTGAGCTGCTTGTGCTGTTGTGGGCAAGTCACCAGCATTTTGTCCAGGAAAAACCTAGAGAAGTTAAACATCAGCACACTAAAGCTGACTTTCCATCACCCATTCCCCTTTCTACCAAATGAAATCTGTTCAGGGTGAGCACATTGGAAGCTGCTACAGGGTGATCAAAGGTTACTGAAAAATTTCTTCTGAAACAGCTGGAAATGAAGGCTGTGTACCTAAAAACCTTGGAAGCTGTCCCAGCTCTCAGACACTGCTCCGGAGCAGCCTTCCCATCTCTGCGTGTGGCAGGGGGCTCCTGGGAAACTGGGGACATCTGAGCCGAGGGCAGAAAAGGGGGCTCTGCTGTGGTGTGTGTGGTAGGTCCTGCCTAGGATCGCTGTCCTGCCAGTGTGTTCCTCTGGTGTTAGCAGCGCCTTGGAGAGGATCCTGGAACGTGTGGAAGTCAGGGAAGCATTGAACAGAGCGTCAAGGACTGTGAGACCTAACCAGGACATAGTCATTTCTCTGGAGATGATGTCAACAGCAAATCTCTTGTAATTGGCAGGGGGTTTATGCCTGATGAGAAGCTGTTTGATCTGCCTTCCTTTACTGGTGCTTGGGGCTTTGTCATAAAAAATGTGGGGATTTATGATTTTGTTCTAGGATGGCTCACACTGCAGTCTGTCTCAAAGCACCACAAAAGAGCTGTTGCAAGGCACTTAACAGGGAGTCAGGCCTCACCAGGGGAACAGCCAAGGTCTTCCTCTGTAACAGAGGCTGCTGTTCCTTTAAAGATTAGAGGCTGCTTCTGAGTGACCTTTCTGTGTTCGCTGGTGATACACAGCACAGTAATTTTCTTGTTTGGTTAAACTTTGAGGAGGGCCCGGCAGCATGTCTTATAATGCCCATTTTAAGCAGCAGGAGCCACTGGAAAGATCTCTTCCTGAACACGTAACATTGTCTGCCTCAGCCTCAGGCCAGTGAGAGATGGGAATTTGGAAAAATTTGGACTCCAAAATATTTTGGAGTCTTGTGTGGGTAGATCACTAGGAACAACTGAAAGCTGTATGGACCTGAGCCAGGAGACAGAGCAGGGCTTTCAGAGCACCCGAGCCCGGAGTGTGACACTGCCCACGTGGCTGGCAGTAGCGTGGGCTGTCTGCTGCTCAGTATTTGGAAATACTTGAGGAACGGGGTTGAGAGTTTCTCTCTGCCAGGCCATGTGCAGCTACAGGACGGACCAGATGGGCATGTTTACCTCTGTCCCACGGTTCTGTATCAGTGGGCAAACTGTGTTCCCTCAGTTCCTTGTAGCGAGCTCCGCAGAAATGCATTTGGAGGTGCAGCCAGTACACAGCGCAGCATGCGTGGAACCTCTCCCGACGTACCACTGAGGAATAGTATTGGAGAGTTGCTCTGGTGTTGAAAGCTGAGTTGTGTTGGTCTCTCAAGGTGCCTCCAAGCTTTCTTCTGGCTGGCTGTGTGTTTGCTTTGACATGGGACTGGCAAACCCTTTGCTAGGGGCTGTTTGCTTGGAGCCTGTTGCCTTTTAACCAGCTGCCCTGTTGGTTTTCACCCTGTAGATCGGGGACCGGAGCGGTGAGCTGACAGCACAGGTCAACATGGCCCAGCTCAGGTCGGCCCTTGGCTTGGGCCCCGGGGATGAGGACGTGGGTACAGCTCAGCACTATTCTGGCTATGAAGCACAAGGTGAGTTTCTGGGCTTTTGATGGTATTGAAAGGTCACATGAAAGATGTGGTGTGGTACATGGGGAGGTGTTTGCAAGTGAGCAACGTGGGAGAAAAGGTGAATGCCAGAGTAAGACGAGACTATCGAGTGCCCTTACCACAAAGGAGAAGGCGGCATGTTTGCCCTGTGCTTTCCATAAGCTGCAAGGGCAGGGAAAGATCCGCCCCAAAAAAGGCACAGAATGAGTTAACGGAATTAATCTGCATTGGGAATGAAATTCCACATGCCAAGCAGCAAATCAGCTTTTGTCTCTTTTAAAGCTCTGCAGGGCCCTCTTAACTGATTTGACTGATAGAGCAAGCTTTCAAAAGGTGACTGGCAGGGATTTTTGCCTGTTCTTACTCTGATTAGCAGCCAAGGAACAAGCCTGCAGCATGGGCTGAAGGCAGGTTGTGAGCATCAGCACGCTGGGTGCCGTCTCGCCCCTGGAACACTTGCAGTGATGCCCAGCTTGGAAACAGAGATTTGGCTCCCCAGGGAGCAGGAGAGCACAGCTGAGTCCTCGCCGCAGCGCGCTGCCAGCCTGACGTGTGTCCCCAGCTCGGGGCCCGACTGCCTGTCCCGGAACGGCCCACGGCAGACATTTGTGGGTGCCTGGCATGGGGCACTTCCAGCTGGCTGCTCTGTCGCTCTGGACAGACTTATTAATTCACTCAGATGAGACTGCATCCCAGGAGGTGCTGACTGATTAAATATGACCTTGTTAGCGCAAACAGGTTTTCTCGGGCGGTGTGTTCTCTTTCCTGTTGGCAGAACTGGCATAGAGAAGATGATGCTCGGGTTGAGGCACGATGTCCTGGGAGGGAGAAAGGCTGGCTGTGTGTTTTTGCTCTCTGTATTGATCTTGGAGGTGTAGCCTGCTACGTCAGTGCTAAATCTTTTCCTGAGAAGCTGAACTGTGGGCAAGGGAGCCAGCATGCCCTGCTGTGCCCCATCGGGAGCCGCACTGGAGCTGAGCTGTTTCCTCAAAGGCCGTGTGGACCACAGCGGCTGCCCCAGCCTCCTTTGGCACGTCAGGTCCATCTTCATAACTGCTGGGAGACTTATTAGCTAGGGCCTGCTGTTCATCCCTGGCACCTCGTTAGGGGCTTACTTTTGGCAAATTACTTTGCTCTGAAAGGGGAACAGGGAATTAGCCTTGATGTTGCCGCTGCTCCTGGGACAGAGTGAAGTGTGCTGAAAGGAGCTGATGGGGTGCCAGGTCCCTTGGGCTGGGGAACGGAGGGGTGCAGGCGGGCAGCGCCAAGGACCACGTGGGCATGAGAGCACTGCACGCCGAGACACGTGTTTGACTGGAGGCGAGAGCCTGCTGCGTAGGAGAGCTGCAGTGGAAGGGGTCAGGCCTGATTTATCTGGGAGAGGGGCTCTGCAGCTCTGACTGTATTGGATAGCCAGGAGCGCACGGCCTTTTCTTAGCTGGAAATAATTAGAAAAATAAAGCAAGGAGGGTCTCTGCTCTCGTAACAAACTCCCCATTGAATCCGACCTTGAATGCAGCGTGCTACGGACTGGTCTGGTGTCCCACTGCAGGCAGGACAGCGTGACTTGGGGGCCAGGGAGGGTCTCGGTCCGAGCAGAGCCCCTCGTGGGGAAAGCCGAGGCTGGTGTGTGGCAGTGTCCCCTACACGGGCGGTGACACAGCCCCACCGACCGCGACTCGCAGCACGAGACCTGGAGAGCGCGCGGCGCTGGAGGGTTGGGATTTTTGCTTAAGGCACGTGCCAAGCCTGGTCGGTGGCTGGGCTTAACTCTGAAGGTGAGGCAGGGAAAGGCAGAGCCAGCGTGAGGCCCACGGGCCGTTCGCTACCCTCCAGTGACCCAGATGTGCCTGAGCTGTCTCAACATCTGGGGCCAGTAATGATTTTTCTCTCATCTGATGGAGCCAGAGCCATGCTGGTCTGAGCGCGAGATCGCTGGAGGGTGGGAAGAGGGGCTGAGCAGCCGTCATCAGGGGCAGTGCTTGCTGGAGGTTGCGGTGACCTCGTTAATCCATGGTGTCATTGCTCACGTTCCCAAGGCTGGGGCTGTTGTCAGCAGGAGGACAAAATGTTCTCTGGAGGAAAAACAGCAAATGACTGAGGCAGTGCAGGGAGGGAGGGTCCTGGGAACCTGCTGGGGAGGTAAAAATCAGCCTGGGCTGTGCAGCAGCACCTTGCGTGAGGAAGGGAGTGTGAGGGTTGCGGTGCTTCACCACGTGTGGGCTCCGACGCACGCATCTGAGGTGCTGTCCCTGTCACGTGGCGATTTGGAGAGAGGATGGATCTGCAGGGCAGCCTGTGGAGAGGAGCCTGGGTCCCTTGATTTCTCCTTAGTTTTCATTCTGGCTTCAGCTCTTTTATTCTGAACTTCAGTGGAGGATAAGAGAGGCCACCAATGTGTCTTTAAGCCCTTGAGAAGAGGGGAGATGTATTTAATGACTGCCAGGAACTTTGGTACCCTCCTGTGCACCTATTAAATGATTAGAAAAGGATAATTATTTATATTATTAATAGCAGCAATTTACAGCAAGAGGAACATCTGTTTCTCTAATAGGAAGCAGGTGAGAGAGTTGAGAGTCAAGTTGACTTCTGAACCAGCCGTGCCTTTTGATGCCAGCAAATCTTGTGGTGAGGAGAGCTTTCAAATCTTTTTCCCTTCAGATTATTTTCCCTGCTTAAGGTTATAAAATGTCTGCATATTCATAAGGATGCTAAAATCATCTGATAAGGCAAGCATCTTATAAAACACATTATTCTACCTTCCTGATGAAGTTAAAGTTTCATAGCAAACTTGAGTTCTGGAAAAACCTGAGCCAGACCATCAGACTGTGGTGTCCTTCACAGGTTACTTTTGCTTCTAAGTCTTGGGCACTGCCCTCCGCCGCCGGCCTGGGGGAGGAAGCAGTGACGGATGTTTTTCCCTGTTGTTTTGGCTCCTCTTGCTGAGCTCTTTGTGATTTGAATTAATATTCTGAGAGCAATTGGACGTCAGAAGACAAAGCTGGAGGCCAGGGAAGTGGGGCAGCGCTGCAAAAGTCTTGTGAAAGCAACGACCTTGTCAAGAAATGCAAACATGGAAAGCTTAAAGCAACAAACCAAAAGAAGCTGGAGAGTAGCTAAAACATGAAGCAAATAAACAGAGGTTGTGTCTGTTTCTCCAGATATGCAAAAATGTGGCCCTGAAAACTGGTCTTGCCCTCTTTCACACACTGCAGGTTAAGAATTGAGTACTGGTAGGCGTTTGTCTTTTGGGAGAAGTAAGGGAACTTGCTGTGCCTCTAACGAGAGCTGGTTTGTAGGGATGAAGGCACCCATGAACAAGCAGCAGCGCTGCCTGCTGCTGGGAGATGTCCCACATACAAACAGCCAGCTCTGCCCCCAGCACCGCTGCTGCCTGTGGGGTGGGTGTGCTGCCCGTGCCACCCTCGCTGGCTGCCCTTGCCGAGATCCGTCCGTTTGGGCCGAGGCTTCAGCATCTGCTCAGCAAGGGGTCGGCTGCGCCTGGTGCTCGGTGGGTAGCTCTGAAACAGGAGCACCGAGCTGAACCCGTCCCAGACTGAGCCTGGGCTGTCCCTGGGGGGGTAACTGGGGTCTCTGGTGTACGCTGAACAGAGTGCTGCCTTGCCAGCTCTCCCCTCTGGATGCTGTCTCTGGCTGGGGCCGCCTGCCAGCTGGGAGGGGAGCCCAGAGAAGGGCTCACCCACCACCGAAGGGGTGGAGGTGCCACCCAGAAGGCAGAGAGCAGCCCTGGCCAAGCCTCTGTGCTTCTCCGAAGTGAAAACTGACTCTGGGCTGCTTTTCTTTCATCATCAGCCTGTCAGCCTCAGTACTGTCCAGAGACACTGAGCAACACCTCTCCTGGTAGGTGGGGGTAGGTGGGGAGGGATGCAGGTGTTCCAGAAGGCGTTGGCATGCAGACGCTTTCAGAGCGGTGTAATCTGGTTCCTGGCGTGGTTTCTGTGCTGTTTGCAGTATGCAGACACCGCTGCCCAGCCATGCTCAGTGAGCTCTGAGGGCAGGAGAGGACTCGGTCGTGAGCCTGACCCCCCCTGCTCTCTGCACATCTTCTGCAGGAGAAGGGTAGGCGCAAGGCGAGTCTGCTTGTCTGGTGTTCAGGAGCTGGAGCACTGCTCATCCCTGCGGGACAGGCAGCCGTGCTTCAGCTCAGGTGGTGAAGTGGGCAGCTGAGCCTGGGTGAGCATGAAACCCCTCTTCTTCCTGAGCAGTAATGAGCTCTGTGTGGCTTTGAATGTGGGTCTTGGTGTCCTCAATGCAGTTTTGAGCTTGCCTTCTTCACAGGAATCTTTGAACCCTTGGATCAATCAGACAGGGATAGAGGAATTTTGCTTTTATGTTTCCCAGCCTGTTTGTTTTTGTTTGTTTGCTTGCTTTAAATATCTTTGAAGTAGCTAAGAAGCGTTTAGGGCTGCTGAAATATGCCAGATTGACCAGCCCTCTGTTGACACAAAGCAGGAAGGAGGCAGTGCTGCTAACCCTTGCCAGCTGGTGCCTCGGGCTGGGATGCTGCCCAGGGACAGGGACGTTCCTCCTCCGAGGTTTGCTCAACCCTTCTACGAAGGACTGTTCTGGGTGACAGCCAAGAGCTGTGGCCCTCCGAGACCAATGTCCTTCCGACAGTGGGACAGCCCTGCTCACTGAGACTCTGATTTCAGTGTCTAGGTAGCGTTCGCCTTCCACTCAGCAGATGAGTACAGGGGTCACATCGCTAGTGGCTCCAGCACGGAACCTGCCCTGTTCTTACCAGTCAGACTGAGTAAGCATAGCAATTGAAATTGCTTAATATTAAGTAGCCTCAGCTATATTTGCTTTTTCCCAAGAGCTGATGGGCTGCAGCTCAGCCTTTTTTCATCCTGAAAATGAAAGCCCGAGGCCGTGCTGGTTAATTGTACCTGCTTGTGCAGGGTTTTGATGGATGAGGCAGTTGACTGAAGCAGAGTAGCTTTTGGCCAAGCGGGAGGTAG